ATGATGACTCAAATAAGTAAAAACTAAAATTTAAATTTTAAGGCGTTTGATAAATGTCTAAAATTTGACGAGTAACCGGGGACCACAAATACGCCTTTAGTATTGAGACTTGTCTTTTGCCAACTCAAAAAAAAAAAACCCCGAATCAAATAAGACGGAATAAGATGGGTGACATCATTTGAACGAAATTGATAGCAAACACACGCTTATAAAGAACAAGACATTCAGCATACTTAAATCTGAAGAAATTGCATTTCTATAACACGAATTTTTAAAACGATTGTCTTTATTGGCTTTTAAGGAATTGACCACAGCGCCTATTGTGATGTATGCGGTGACTTCACACGTCCCATCACGGGTATTCGATGGAAATGCAGAGAATGTTTTGACTTTGATCTTTGCACTTCATGTTACATGAATGATAAAGATGATATTAATCATAAGTATGAAAGGATCATTGACAAAGAGAGAAGGTGATGATTGTATTTTTAACAAAAGAATTTCTTGACAAAACATCAAAGTAAGGCAATATATTAAAGTATTTACACACAATCTTCTTTATATATATATATATATATATATATATATATATATATATATATATATATATATATATATATATATATATATATATATAATATATATATATATATATATATATATATATATATATATATATATATATATATATATATATATATATATATATATATATATATATAAACAAACAAAAACACAGAGAACGAGTAAAACATAAGCGCTTTCATTTCTTCTTCATGATGTTTTACAATACTCATGGTAACGTCTATTATGACGTCATAATAACTTAAAGTTAACAAGTCTTTGATTGACGTCATATTTTTCCCGTACTTTCACAGAACAATGCATTAACAAAGCATACAATAACAAGGAAATAAATGTGACTCAGTAACATAATTTACATGTAAAGAAACAATTCTTTTACATTAAACTATTTAATTTAGGTTTGAAAGTCCTTATAAAATGTCTTTCTTTATCACGTCTTTCGATTGTGTTAGAGTTGTGCAGTTTATAAAATGGAAAGACAGTAAAAGTTCTATTTCCGCACACGTCTAAGTGTTCACTGACTGTGAGTTTGCGATATTGCGGTACGTTTATTTGTTGTTTGTGTACTCTGATCCTTTCCCGTGAGGTACTTCCCGTCTCGCCGATATATAGTTCCCCGCAACCGAAACATGTTATAACGTATATAACATTTCTAGTTTGACATGACATGTTATTATTAACAGTAAACTGTTTCCCGTTAAAGTTCTAAAGAAGGAAAACGATGCCATTTTGACAGATATCTATTACAAGCCAACAGACACGCATCAGTATCTTCATTTTAATTCGTGCCATCCACGGCATACGAAAAGAGCCATCCCTTATAATTTAGCAAGGAGAATATGCACCATCGTAAATAAGGAAACAACCAAAATACAAAGACTACAAGAGCTGAAAGAGTATCTACGGAAACAAAGTAACAAAAATTATTGATAATGCTATCAAAAAAGCCATGGATTTAGACAGAGAGGACCTCCTCAACCCTGTGCAACAAAACAAGACGGATTCCAGGATCTTGCCTTTAGTAACGACCCATAATCCCCAGAATGCAAACGTTGCAGCGATTGTTTACCAACTCAACGACGTTTTGAAAACCGACGAAACTATGTCTAAAATATTTAAAAATCGGAAATTCATAAACAGTAGGAGGCAGCCGAAGAACCTCAGACGAATTCTCACAAAGTCCTCTTTTAAAGAAACGACAGAATTTCATGTGACAAAGTGCCAGGATCCGCGTTGTGGTACCTGCCCAAACATACGACAAGGACAAAGTTTCAACTTTAACGGGAAACAGTTTACTGTTAATAATAACATGTCATGTCAAACTAAAAATGTTATATACGTTATAACATCTTCCGGTTGCGGGGAACTATATATCGGCGAGACGGAAGTACCTCACGGGAAAGGATCAGAGTACACAAACAACAAATAAACGTACCGCAATATCGCAAACTCAAAGTCAGTGAACACTTAGACGTGTGCGGAAATAGAACTTTTACTGTCTTTCCATTTTATAAACTGCACAACTCTAACACAATCGAAAGACGTGATAAAGAAAGACATTTTATAAGGACTTTCAAACCTAAATTAAATAGTTTAATGTAGAAGAATTGTTTCTTTACATGTAAATTATGTTACTGAGTCACATTTATTGCCTTGTTATTGTATGCTTTGTTAATGCATTGTTCTGTGAAAGTACGGGAAAAATATGACGTCAATCAAAGACTTGTTAACTTATGACGTCATAATAGACGTTACCATGAGTATTGTAAAACATCATGAAGAAGAAATGAAAGCGCTTATGTTTTACTCGTTCTCTGTGTTTTTATTTATTTAAAATAATTTTCATATTTATCACCGACCACTGTGATTTTTCTTGGATTTATCTATCTATATCTATATATATATATATATATATATATATATATATATATATATATATATATATATATATATATATTTTACTTGCATCTTTAAATGTTAGTGCATTTCAGATTTTTAATTTCTTTTTCGTATCTTAAGTGATTTACTAGAATCTTCAAGGAGTGATTTCTCACAGAAGAAGAAGACAATGTCGGGAATTTTTCTTCATACCCAAGTATCAGCAATTGAGGGTATGTTTTTTTTTAATTCATGGGTAAAAAATCTTATTTAGATCTGTTCAGATGACTTAGATCAGAGCCAGACAACCAACGTTAAACAAGAAAAAATAATTTAAAAATAATTTACAAAATAAGAATTTTTTTTTCATTTTTTTTCTATTTAAATATTTGTATAAAGTGCTGAGTTTCCATAATTTGATATAAATATATATTATAATAACAGTAACTTGATCCGAAGGTTCGTATCACGTCAAGTTGACAGGCACGGATCATTAGATCATCAGATCAAATGAGTCGCGAAGTGTCGAGTTTGATCTGATGATCTGTGCCTGTCAACAAGACGTGATGCGGCTCTTCGGATCAAGTCACTGTTATAATGATAAATTTATTATATATCCCCTAATAACTAGCTAAATACACAAAATAAAACTGAAGAAATCAATTGTATGATATTTATCCATAAATATTAAAACAATGCATAATAACAAGGAACCTTTTGACGCCTAAAAATAAACGTCATGTGTCTGCGTACTACGTCATCAGTTTCAGAGAGTGGTGATATGGATTCACAGTGTGGTGATCCGGAAAGTCGGATCAGGACGTCACCTGATTGCCAAAATCAACATTAAAACTTATTGATACGCATTAGATATAAAATAAAATGAAAATATTACTATTTCCACTCTATGACAAAATCTTTAATTATTTCAAGTATTCTTTGTTATATTGCAACAAGATAGAACATTTTAAAAGAAATCTTTGTATGCATTCATTTCTCCAAATTGAACAACAAATAAATTTTTATCATACTACCTGTCTATTTTGAAGACTTTTTTATATTAAAAAAAAGCCCACACTTAAATTATGAAATAAACAAACCATTTCAAGACGCAGTCCCAGTCCAATAAAGAAAATATATGAAAACAACAAACAGTATTCAAGCTCAAAAATCCATAAAGCAATTGTACAAAACTGGAGCAGATTATACTCAGACCTCCAAAAATCAGGTGTGGTGTCAGTTACCATGGAGGACAGAGCATCCTCTGTCGACCGGTCACACCTGCCTTGTGTTCTTTGTCATGACCGTGAAATGAAGAAAAAAATCCATCCGTTTACAATTTAGTGTGTATAAATGGCCTAACAATTAGTATGAAAAAGTCAGTCAGCATTTGACTAAATGCGAAATTGTATTTGCTGACAAAGTTCGTGTATTATCCATAGACCACGAAATTATGACTTAAAACGAAACTGCTGAAATTCTTGTGTCACCAATTTGTCTGTCAATAATATACCTAGTTTGAGAAATTGTTCATAAGTAGAGTAAATGTTCAAGTCCTAAAACATCTTTGATCAGTCAAAAGATTACCTTAAGATGATTTATCTGTTTTAAAAACATTGAATTTTTTTTACTATTTTAATTTTACATTCGACGACACACATATCTCATTTTAAAATCAGAACAAAAATCTGAGTCAAGGCACTTCTTTCGGTACTAACGAGCATTTAATGTGACTTTTTAGCACTGTGATTTCGTCGAACATATAAATTAAAGTCTGTCCTTTAATTTTTTTTATCAATTAAGATGAAACCCTGTTCAGGCTTCGGTTTGGTAAAGCAACATGAATAAAGGATATGGATATAACGAACAGTATTCAATCTCAATGTCCATAAAACAGTTCAAAAGAAGAACAGAGCAAACATGGGCCTCCCAAACATCAGAGGTGGGATCAGGTGCCATGGAGGAGAAAGCAACCTCTGCCGACCGGTCACACCTGCCGTGTGCTCCTTGACATGATCAGGAAATAACGGAGAAATCCGTCGTCAATTCAGTCTATAATTAATGGACTAACAATTAGTTTTAAAAACGTCAGTCAGCATTCGACTCAATGATAAATTGTATTTGCTGACAAGGTCATTGTATTGACCACAGAACTTACGAAATAAAGACTTAAACCGAGATAGCTAATGCATATGAATTATTGGAACAACACCGTCACATTAATTTGGTTTAAATTGAATTTAGTTTTATCATAGTAGGAGAATTCAAATTTATTTTCAGAATTTAAACAATACAAAGAATTTTTTAATTAGAGGTGAAGACAACAATCTGCTCAAAATCTGAGGAGCGAATCTTTTTTCACAGGGGAGTGGAGGAAAACAAGCAAAGCTCTTTTGATTGTTCCACTACATAAGAATACTTCTACATATTATATAGTAGTATTATTCTTATTTGTTACAGATCCAAGCATCATGGGCAAAGTTAAGAAATTTTGCAATTATAAAATTGATATTGACCGAAACGCTGTCAATGTAAGATGGTCAAGGACAAATAGTGAATCATGGAAAGAAATCATTGACCTTATTTGTACATCAAACGAAGAGGGTGATGAGACATATTATCGAGAACATCTGCCAGACCTTGGAAATGGTGAGATATCTTTTTCATGGTCAAACTATTCATTCATTATTAAATTATTAAATAAAAATGTTGTGACCTCTAACTATTACATTTCAGTATGATATAAATTAAAACAATGGTATTAAAATGAAATAATTTTTTTTATCGAAAAACAAAATAGACACTCGTGGATATATTAAAGTAAAAGAAGGAACTTCTGAGGTGAGAATAACTTTCATTTGTTATGCTCAAATTCATATATATATTATGTTTTCCAACAAACGGATAACGCAATTTTGTATCTGTAATCGGTTAGAATTTTCACTTTTCCTTTTCAGGTAATTGAAGAATAAAAAAATCGAAAATAATTTAAATGATTATAGATACAAGTAACAATATTTTTGCAAAATGCCTAATCTTTTAACAGGCTTTGATTAGTCTGTGGTTTAACAAAGAACAGAGTTGTCATAGAAATCAAGAAAGGCCAAGACTTTATGTAATTTTTGCCGACAATCCAAACAACAAGGACAATTCTTGTTTGAGAAAACATCTAAGAGAAATTAAAAAGTTTGCAAGTAAGAGCTACATAAACGATTAAATTTTCTAATTTTTAAACACAGTAAATATAGAAATAACAAACAGTTCTGATCATTAAAAATTTAGGAAATACTTTAGGACATTGTTTTATCATTATCAATCAGCTCGATCAAATGTGCAGATAAATCGGACACATATATACACACACACCCTCTCCCTCTCTCAAACGCACAGCTTTTCACAACCACACACCTCTTTCACATCCACACTTACACTATCACACACATCTGTATTCCACGCAAATACTTGACTGTAACGTTGTGTTTCGTGCTCTTATATGAAAGTAATCTTTCTTTTTGTAGGGAAAAGCAAGGCTCCATGTGTTTCCGTGAGTCAAAAGCTTCTTTTCATCGAGGACAATGTATTCATCCATCACAGAACGGACGCCTCTGTCATAAAGGTTACTTACGAAATAAAGTTCGCGTTTTCCTGAATTTAATGTTGCAGGATAACCTCCAAGGTCGAGAAATGTTTTTTGAAAGACTGCCTTGGCTTTTATATTTCAAACAACATTTCTAGACCGAAGAGGTTATTCTGCATCATTCACGACAACAAGGGCATTTAAGAACTTTTAAATACGACTAATCGTTTCTTCTAAAGAGAAACCATTTGGTTCACCATGTCTCGATTACACCCGTCTATTTAACACCAGGGTAAATTTGTTTGTTTACCACGTATTGAAGGCAGACGATTTTAACTTTTACTGCATTGAAATAGCTTTTTATTACTTATGAATTTGATTGTACCACAATACAAGGGTTGTCCCAGATAAAAGCGAAATATTCAATATTTGTTGTTTCACCAATGCTTCAAAGTTAAAAATTGGTATACTTTATAACCAACATTTGGTAAATAATTCACAGAAATTTCAATAAAATATCTCTATAAGTAGCATTTTATCTATGATCAACGTATCATTCAAAATTGCTGTCGGCGCAACAACGACGACATTAAAACGTCACTAGTGGAGTTTTTCAACTTATTTAGGAAACGTGCATCTTTAAAAAAATGTTTGAGCGTAAATTCGTTACTCCATTTTCTTTTAGTTATCGAGTCATCCATTTCACAAATGCTACAGTTGAAAAATAAATCAAGGAAGTAATTCTTTTATTAGACTATTTTCAAGTCACAAACCCCGATACTATAGCATGAAGTTGACGGCGATGTCCACTTATTACGTCCAGCTCTAGATCTTTTAGTTGTCATATTTGTAGGTCTACTAAACGTTTCTTCCATAATATAACGAGTCCATCATCATATTCTTACTATGAATAAACATGTTTCCAATATATCTATTTATCTGGTTCTCAGCTCTTTTCCCCTGTGAACATTGAACCGGGGGTCATACTCCGCTCCACATAACACTGAGTGACATATTGTTGCGCCGCATTGTTGCCGAAGGTCGCCGTTTTTTACACCATATTAATAGTGGTTGTGCATATAACGTCATATTTTTTCTTATTTATAAGGGCAGAATATTTATTTTTTCGACACAAAAACTCTAGATCATACAGTTTTTTGGAACCAATATTAATCACATTTTAATTACGAACAGTCAGATAATGACAAAACCATCGCTGTCAATGCAAATTTTAAAATTCAAGAAATTACCGTGAGCCGACCAACAATATTTAACACACTTTAAATGTTGTTCCTAAATGCATATTACATGTGTATGTCACAAACTCATATTATTAAGCAAAAATGACGAAAATACCATTTCCCAAAAGTGTGCCAAAAGTGAAAATTTTTGGTGCGTTAGTTTATAAAATATTTAAAAAGTTCGCAATTTTTTTGGACAACCCTCGTATAATAATTTGTATGAATGTACAATAGCAAATCAGTTTTCTATTTTTTGTTTTACTTTATTACTGAAGTTAAAAATGGTGTTAGGAGGCCCGTGGAACAGCTACGCTTTATAAATTAGCTATAATAACCTGCATTCATCAGTTACTTTTTGCAATTTACACAACGTATCGAGTCTGAAAGACGACACATCGATGAGTCTAAATAATGTTTCTTTTTAGAGTCAAAATTTATTTCTACCCTGTACAGGTTTGATACGTGTTTCTGATCTGATAATGTTATGATGACGTTCGTGATTTATTGGAGAATAATGTCCGTGGCATTTCTTTTATCTCGACAATTATCGTGGTTGAATTCTCATTAAACTCAAAACACTGGAATTTGAATATATTTACGAAGTTATTTGTAATGTGTATTTGTCTCAAATTTTCGATTCTTCAAATGCATGTACCATTTTTTTTTATGCAACGTTATGCGCGTGGTATTCTCACCCTATTATTCAACAATTTGCAATAAATTTACTACTTTCAGCTGTTGTTATCGATGGGATTTTCGACAATTCATAGAGGGGAAGCCAATGAAGATGAAGAAGAGATCCATTACTTCCAAAGAATGACTGAATGTAAGTGACATTGAATATGAGAGCTTCATTTATTTACACATGGTTAATAAGGGAGAAAGGTTCTGACTATTCATCATTTTTATTGTATGGGGTATTATGAAGTTTTTTTTTTGGTAAATTGTCATCAATTAAGGATTTTATTGCAAATCATGGGATACAATTGACATGCATCAAACGTTTGGTCACATTCTTTAGGTTACTTGCGAGATTATTGATTGACTTTATGTTCTCTAACGTTCCAAGTAATAGTTAAACACCAGATACAGGACCTCTGTCTTATCCGAAAGACCTTTGACTTTCCCTTTCACTACCCTACCACTAGGCTTCCGTGATCAGTAAAACGGGATACCGAAAACTATAAAGGATAGATAAACGCTATAATTCTCTACAGTTGCGTTACTTTGTCATCCCATTTGTAAATATTTGATGTAACTTATCTTCCTTTCTGCTAATTGCCAAGCCAAAACGAAGCAAATTTTTTAATGTAAAATTTGTTCACAATATTTTGAGTTATTTGTAAAATTACGAAATTTAATAAAAATAATTATTATACTTTTTGCTGAGATTTAAGATTGATGATAAATATATTTCACATTTATTTTTTTTTTTGATACGGTTTCTTCCATTAAGCTGCATTATGCACTAAATTAGCAATCAAAGGTTATGTTCAAAAGGTATATCAATAATCTGTTTCAAGTCGTTATTCATTTGCATTATTTAACATGCAATATATCATTCAGTTTGAATGGACTATGATGATAAGCAAGATTCCATTTTGATGCAGATTACTGCGAGGATTTGTTCCTACCAGTTATAGTATCAACTGAGAATGGAAAGGCATGTAAAGAGGTCCTTCAATATGCATCTGATAAGAAAATACCAATAGTATATTTTAAGGTAATTGTGTGTTTTAATAATTACATAAAAATGCAAATATGTTTATTTGAGTCCAGCTAAATCACATCTACTATGAAATTACATATTTTTGAAGAGTCAAATTTTCTTGGTTTGAGGAAAATATATTGGTTCATTGGAATTTGATTTAGTAGTAATGAATGTGAAAAATTGCATTTCGTAGTGAATATAAAATGGTCTCATCATACCTTAAAAACCCACGAAAATTAGTAATTTCAAGTATATAACATTTGACAAATTTTCACTAAGAGTTTATTGTAAAAATTAAAAATTATAGTGGTAAATTTTGTTTTTATATATCTTGTAGCTTCTTGAAATTGTTACTGATTAAAATATATTTCTAATGTAACAGTTTAATTTTAATGTAATTGGAGTAAAGTTGAAAAATATGTAATTTTTCTTATCTATTAAGTAATGCTCCCGATGTTAGGAAGCACTAGCACTTTTCAGGTCTAAGAATATTTTTTATATCTGTTTATTCAAGTGATAAAGATCTTGAAGTGTATGAGGGCTGTTCAATAAATAATGCGCTGAAATGTATGACATACAAAAATGAAAACATATGACATTAAAGGTACTTGGACACAGATTTGAAGTATTCAATTTCTCTTTAATATTACGACTTAATATTTTAATAGCATTTCACACAAAAATTAATTAAAAATCCTATTTCATAAAAAAGATATTAAAATTTCAATTTTTTGGCGCGTTTAATTGACACATCCTTGCACTTTCACAAATTAATTCTATTCTTAATCCTTAAGAAAAGAGGCAATCTCGCTTTGTATAAATGAAAAATATTAATACTTTAATCCAGAAAATTCAGAGTAGACATGTTCGAAAGCAAAACAAACACATAATATATTGCCAGTCTGTGCAGTTGTGGTAAGCCGACTGTGACGATTGAACGCACCCGGTGAATTGTAAATATAAACAATAACAGAACTCGTGTCCTGTTTACAAAAACTGTGTTCATAACACAAGTGTGCTCGATTTGCTAAACTCTGTACGCAGCTCTTAGTTCAGAATTCCGATACTTGTGAAGGAGTTTTACTTTCTAACATTTCTACTCTGAACAAAAAAAATTTTCTGGATAAAAGTTTTAATATTTCTGATTAATACACTCAAAATTGAAACTTTTCCTAAGGATTAAGAATAGGGTTAAAATTTGTGAAAGTGCAAGGATGTCAATCAAACCCGCCAAAAAATTTGAAATTTCAATAACTTTTAAATGGAATGAAATTTTTAAATTAATTTTTGTTTGTAATGTTATTAAAATATTATAATGCGTAATATTATAGAGAAAATATTGACTTCAAATATGTGTCCAAGTACCTTTAAGCTTGACTTTCTATCACGAATGAATCTTTAATAAATTGATTACAGTTTATATGACCACTTTTCACCATATAGTGTCATTGTTAGAAGATTGAAAACAAGGGTTATTCGAGACACTGCATTATAAATGAATAGTAATAATACAGTAAAGTAGAGTGGAATAAAACGCTGCAAGAAAGCTGCTGTTAAACTCGTTAGGAATCCCAAAGAAATATATACTGAAATATGTAAA